AGTTGTAAGGGAAGAAGATAAAAAAAAAAGAATTATTATTTCCTTGTTGTCTTTCTTTTTTTTCGCTTTTGCGCTCTGATATTCATGTGACGATATATATGTGGGAATCGTCATCCAGGATTGTCTTCTCTTTTTTTCTTGGTTGTCACACTGTGGATCGTCGCTTTTTTATGTCTTGTCCTGGGTGGTCTTGTCCCGTTGTTTGGCCTTTGACGGAGCGGGCGGTGCTTGCATGTGGGACTTGTCATCTGGGATCTGTCCTGTTTCCCTCTGTTCTATTTGTTTCATTTGGCTGTTCCCTTCCTCTCTTCTTTGCCTCTTTGCCTTTTGGCTGTGTGCAAGTGGGTCGATATGACACACGGGGGTGGGGGCAGCCGCCGCTCAACCTACATCCACGTGGGCGGCCTTGTACGCAAGAGGTTCTGAACAGGGGGAGTTGTAAGGAAGAAGATTAAAAACGAATTTAAGATTTTTTTGTTTTTTTGGTTTTTTCGCTTAGGCGCTCTGATATCATGTGACAATATATATATAGTCAAACAGAGGTGCCCGGTAAACCGTAGGCAGAGAGGGAGAAGAGGACAATAAACGAGGGGCTGTGACAAACTGTTTCGTCGGAGTTTCACCGACTAATCAGGACGGTGTTTCACCGACTAATCAACAGGGTGTTTCACCGACTAATCAGGAGGATGTATAAATATCAGAGCGCAAATGCGAAAAAAAAAAAAAAAAAAAAAAAAAACAGGAAAAATTGAATTCAGTTCTTTATCTTCTTTCTTCCTTATAACTCCCCCTGTTCAGAACCTCTTGCGTACAAGGCCGCCCACGTGGATGTAGGTTGAGCGGCGGCTGCCCCCACCCCCGTGTGTCATATCGACCCACTTGCACACAGCCAAAAGGCGAAGAGGCAAAGAAAAGAGGAAGGGAACAGCCAAACATTACAGAACAGGGGGCAAACGAATCCTAGATGACAAGTCCCACATGCAGACACCGCCCCCGACAGCACAGGCCAAACGACGGGACAAACCAGCCAGGATTCAAGACACGGGAACTGTGAGATGGTTCAACGATGAGCCAGGCCATTTTCAACATAAATGAATACCAGAGAACAAATTCTACCATATACAGATATAGATATATATATCGTCAAACCGAACTGCCGACGGTAAACCGTAGGCAGAGAGGGAGAAGAGAACAACAATCGAGGGGCTGTTTCGTCGGAGTTTCACCGACTCATCAGGAGGCTGAACCCTCAACAGTCTGCAGAATCCCCTAAGTGATTACACTGTAAGAGATAATCCACCTTAACCCCGGTGGTGGTTAAGCATTAATGATTGCCCCGCAGCAACTGATCCCCTCTGAGGAGGTGGTGGAGGCCACCAACCACTGCCCTCAAGGTACCTGTGACGAAAATCAAAGCAGGTTATCACTCACCCACACCAGATGGAACACTCTACAGATATATGTAATCGTCAAACGGAACCTCCTGACGGTACTGATGTGAAGTAGCGGGAAAATAACGGAACCTGATGGCAAGCGAACCATTTTCCCGCCGTTTTCCGTTAGCGTGGGAGTGCGGCCCACCGGACAAAACTTCGAAAGGGAAAATGGTCACTTGCCGTATGTCTTGTAATCGAGGTGGGAGGCAAAGAACGAGATAGCTCATCCAATGATGCTGTCACTGACTCAGCTCGCTGACGTCACTACTTCAGCTCGTTGACGTCACTAATTAAGCGCGCTGACGTCATCAGACGTGATGACGTGTCGTATTCCAATCATATCTGCCAGATGGCAAAATAAATACCCCTTCTCCTTACCAACCATATCATATTATTATCCTATTGAGCCATAAGCACATCATCATCATTATCATTATCATCATCATCATCATCATCATCATCATTATATTCTGATGATGCTGATGATCCTTATGAAGCTGATCATGAATACCTTATCCTGATTTTTGTTTGTTCGCATCTGTAATTTTTTTATTTTATTTTTTTTACAAATTTTGCATATCCAGCCCAACAATTGCGGAAACAAACACACGTCGGCTGAGATCGCATACCCTCTTTTAAATTATCCTTAACACGAGATAAAGGGCCTCGCTTCACTGCACAAGTTCCTGAATGAATCTGGACCTGGTAATGGTCCAGGTACGTTCAAAATGTTTGATTAGTCCGAATGTATATGTACTACTTGGCAGTCCAGATATATATCTCGAATGTTCAGTAGTGGCGCGAGCTCCCCTCCACCCCCTCCCTCCCCCAAATCAGAAGTCGGAATCTGCCACGCTCCCACGGAGAATGGACACACAAAACTAATACCCATTTTATTTTGTTGAGCGCCATAGCGGATATGGAGGAGCCTGTTTTCTCATAAATGCATTTTTGTGATTTCATTTCAAAAAAAGGGATTTCGTGTGCTATATCCATCAATGACTCCCTCCCCAGGCTTAAACTCCTCTCCCTCTGATAAATGCATTTTTGGGTGTTCATATGCTTGGAAGACACAGAGAGCGCGCAAAAGGACTGGGGCAGGAAGATGAACGAGGACACATGCATGCGGGCTAGATTCTCTGCACCTGCACTCCAGTGCTGTGCATCAAGGTTGCCTATCACCTTTCGCAGACAAGATTAGATCAGAGATTCTCCGCAATGCACTTCGCCGGAATACACATGCATAACAGACCAAAAGAAAACCAAAAAAAAAAAAAAAAAAAAAAAAAAAA